CACCTGTGGGAAGAACATCACGATGACATAAATTGTCAGCTCAAATGGCAGGATGATATACCATAAATAACCAATCTAAAAATAGCAATAATCATATACCGATATTTGTAGACCTGTAATATCTTTTGTAACCAGTAGGGGGAACCGTGAACCCAAACTGACAGGTATACATACTATTCGTCTTTATTCGTGTAAGAGAGGAATTAGTAACACCTGTCAATGGGGAAGAATCATGCGAACAGTTTATGCCTTTACCTAGTCGTTCACAGGTTTCACAATAAAATTACTAGAAAGGTTGGTATGAATCATGGCGAATGATAAAGCGTGCGAACGTGTAATTGTACGAATAGTGCCGAAATACCTACAAACCATACGAATGAAATAAGAAAAGGAATAGACCCAAACCGCGATGACGCTGAACGAATAAGGTAAGGGTCTGACTTACAGTTGAAAAGCAAGCCGCACCAATACCGGTCTCTGAGCAAGCCAGAGGAGGCTGTAGGCTTGTAGCGTTTGGTGAGGATCCAGGAACCAGGACCACAAGGGAAAACAGGTAAGATACAGCAAAATGGCGGCTTGACCAGAAGTAACCCCTTCAACTCGCTAGACCAACAATGGTAAAGTGCGAGACGATTGGCAGAGGATTCAAGCCCCTCCCACAACTACAGGCCCAGCCTTAAATATATATATATATATATATAGAGAGAGAGAGAGAGAGAGAGAGAGTTTCATTCTAAGATTATTTTGATATTAACATATTTAATTATATAAATATTAACATGGGTGTTATAATGATCACATCACCAGGGAGGGCCGGAATGGTTGTAGGGGGACTGACAATCAGGATCTCCATGATAGGTTAGAATACCGTGCCAGAGGAGGTCTCACTCTGCAAGATGTGCTATTCCATCCTGTGGCATTATAGACCACATTTTGCAAAGCAGCATAGCATGCCTGCCATCCATAAGGGGTTAAGAGCCTTCTCCATCTGTGGAATAACCCATTTGTCAGTCACTGGGATAAATCCTTACGTTCCCAAACCTAAAAATCTCAGAAAAGCATAAAATATAAATACTTTACTATTATAAGTAGTAATATGTCTCACTCATCAATGTAGATCTATGTCTAGGAGTATTTTGATTAAAGGACCACTATAGTGCCAGGAAAACATACTCGTTTTCCTGGCACTATAGTGCCCTGAGGGTGCCCCCACCCTCAGGGACCCCCTCCCGCCCGGCTCTGGAAGGGGAAAGGGGTAAAAACTTACCTTTTTCCAGCGCTGGGCGGGGAGCTCTCCTCCTCTCTCCCTCCTCTCCCGCCCTGAATGTGCCCTGGCGGCAGAGCTCTTAGCATTCCAGCGTCACATAAGGAAAGCATTTACAATTTCCTAGACGCTGCGATACTCACTGTGAAAATCACGGTGAGAAACGCAAGCGCCTCTAGTGGCTGTCAATGAGACAGCCACTAGAGGATTAGGGGGAAGGCTTAACCCATTCATAATTATAGCAGTTTCTCTGAAACTGCTATAATTATGAAAAAATGGGTTAAGCCTAGAACCTGGCACCCAGACCACTTCATTAAGCTGAAGTGGTCTGGGTGCCTAGAGTGGTCCTTTAAGGACGTAATTAGCAACAATTAACAACATTTTAATGCAGATGAGTTGATACCTTCATTTTTGCCATTGCTATAATTTCCGAGAGCTATAAAAAAAAAAAAAAACCACAGGGGAGATTTATCAAGACAATAAAGAAGGTATTTTTTTAGTGTAAAGTGCTGAATGTTCAGAAACATTCCATTGGTTTCCATGGTATTCCTCCTACTTCTTTAACATCACATTGAGTGGAGAGGCTGTATCAGAGAGGCTGTAGAGAGCATAGAGTTGTATGGTCACAATTGTGCACCTCAGCCATTTTATACTGCAATCAATATTAGCTACTTATTTATGCAAAGTACATGTATGAACAAATAAACTGATATTTAATGTTCTGCTAGATCAAACATAGTACCTCTATAACACAAAGTGATCGCAAAAGATAACCATGGCAAGATGTCTATTACTATATTTCAAGGTTCTTCCACTCATTTGTGCTTTATTTCCTGTAATACTTTTTTTTGCTTTGCTTCATAAAAAATCTGGACTGCTAACTTACTTGTGTCTAATAAAGATCTATTGAGAAGTTCTGAAAGCATTGTCACATAAAAAAAGCTGTCTGAAAGGTAACTCTGATAAATTACCTCATCTAGTGAAGGGCTAGTGCTATTAATGTATCAAAAGAAATATCTATAGTCAGGATTATTTTTTACATTTATGCTTTAAATGTTAGGGAATATTTAAAGATATTTAATTTGTTCCATCTAAAATACATACTATTACATCCATAAAACAATGGCGCATGAGAATGTTATATTATATCTAGTAGACGGTGACCATCAGGTCCTTTAATTTTTGTGAGATGACCATTGACATTTGGGTCACTTTTCGGTCATCTGGACCCATGGTTTGCATTCTTCCCCTAACAGATAATAGTATAAATTCTAAAATAAGATAGAAGCTTACCTCTTTTAAAGGAACACTGTAGGGTCAGGAATATAAACGTGTATTCCTGACCCTAGAGTGTTAAAAACACTATTTAGGTCGCCAACCCCACCTTTCCCTCCCCTTGCCCCCATTAAATAGGATAAAGGTTACCTTTATTTCAGCACCTTGTGGGTTTGCCAGTGCTGGTTCCACCCCTAATCCATCTCCCACAGGAAAGCATTGGATTGGCTTAGGTCGTCAGTTTTGATGGTCTCAGCCAAGGAGGTGGGGCGGTTTGGAGCCAAAAGGCATGCTGTCCAATCAGCATCTCCTTATAGAAATGCATTGAATCAATTCATCTCTTTGAGGAAAGTTCAGTGTCTCCATGCAGAGGGTGGAGATGCAGCACTGACCCAGGAAGCACCAATAGTGGCCAACTAAAAATAGTAAAGTCCTAGCTGTCAAAGTTTTGTGGTAGTTGTATGACAGATAGGGACCTACCTTTTTTTTTACACCCTTGTGATAGGGGGTGGGCAAACAATGCTTACACCAGGGCCCTTTCAACTTTAGTTCTGCCACTGGTTCCAGTGGTGCTCTGGTATCCTCCCACTAGAGCCCCTTACATCCCCCACACACACAATACAGCATCTATGACCCTACTAGAGCCTCTAACCCCATACTAGCCTCTACTGGGGGGATAGAGGCTACAGTGGATGGTTATGGGCTTCAATGATATATCATTGCAGCCCATTGCAGGGTTGTAGGGTGTTAGAAACTCTAGTGGGGGACTCTATGTGGGAGTTATATGCTGTAGTAGGAAGATTGGGTTGTGGGGGGAGTAAAAACCAAAACAACATTTTAGGGTACCAAAAATATTTTCTCCTGAAATATGTATATGATAAGCGGTTCCTTTGTATAATAAAATACATTAACAATGCAGTGTTCATGTTAAATTAAAAACAGTTTTACAAAAAAATATATAAAAATAAGGGAATACCTATTAGTGGCCACTATATATTTACATATGTAAACAAAGGAATGCTCAATTAGGTACCCAAAAGGAGAATAGCAGCAGTCTCAAAATTAACCCCATTGTGATAGGTATACGTAAGAGTTCCTAAACACCTTGTTGGTGGACTTACTTCTTTCATAAGCTTGCTAGTCACTGCTAGTCACTGGGATGCTCAGGGTCTGTACATATATATATGCAAGAAAAAGTATGTGAACCCTTTGGAATGATATGGATTTCTGCACAAATTGGTCATAAAATGTGATCTGATCATCATCTACATCACAACAATAGACAATCACAGTCTGCTTAAACTAATAATACACAAAGAATGAAATGTTGCCATGTTTTTATTGAACACACCATGTAAACATTCACAGTGCAGGTGAAAAAAGTATGTGAACCCCTAGACTAATGACATCTCCAAGAGCTAATTGGAGTGAGATGTCAGCCAATTGGAGTCCAATCAATGAGATGAGATTGGAGGTTTTGGATTCAGCTGCCCTGCCCAATAAAAAACACACACCAGTTCTGGGTTTGTTTTTCACAAGAATAGAAGCAGTCACAAGAAGCATTGTCTGATGAATGATGCCTCACACAAAAGAGCTCTCAGAAGACCTACAATTAAGAATTGTTGACTTGCATAAAGCTGGAAAGGGTTATAATAGTATCTCAAAAAGCCTTGCTGTTCATCAGTCCACGGTAAGACAAATTGTCTATTAATGGAGAAAGTTCAACACTGCTGCTACTTTCCTTAGGAGTGGCCGTCCTGTAAAGATGACTGCAAGAGTACAGCGCAGACTGCTCAATGAGGTGAAGAAGAATCCTAGAGTGTCAGCTAAAGACTTACAAAAGTCACTGGCAAATGCTAACATCCCTGTTAGCGAATCTACAATACGTAAAACACTAAAAAAGAATGGATTTCATGAGAGGATACCACAGAGGAAGCCACTGCTGTCCAAACAAAACATTGCTGCACATTTACAGTTTGCACAAGAGCACCTGGATGTTCCACAGCAGTACTGGCAAAATATTCTGTGGACAGATGAAACCAAAGTTGAGTTGTTTGGAAGAAACACACAACATTATGTGTGGCGAACAAAAGGCACAGCACACCAACATCAAAACCTCATCCCAACTGTGAAGTATGGTGGTGGGGCATCATGGTTTGGGGCTGCTTTGCTGCGTTAGGGCCTGATTGGATTGCTATCATCGAATGAAAAATTAATTCCCAAGTTTATCAAGATATTTTGCAGGAGAACTTAAGGCCATCTGTCTACCAGCTGAAGCTCAACAGAAGATGGGTGTTGCAACAGGACAATGACCCAAAGCATAGAAGAAAATATGCCTTCTGAAGTGGCCCAGTCAGAGTCCTGACCTCAACCCGATTGAGATGCTCTGGCATGACCTCAAGAAAGCGATTCACACCAGACATCTCAAGAATATTGCTGAACTGAAACTGTTCTGTAAAGAGGAATGGTCAAGAATTACTCCTGACCGTTGTGCACGTCTGATCTGCAACTACAGGAAACGTTTGGTTGAAGTTATTGCTGCCAAAGGAGGTTCAACCAGTTATTAAATCCAAGGGTTCACATGCTTTTTCCACCTGCACTGTGAATGTTTACATGGTGTGTTCAATAAAAACATGGCAACATTTCATTATTTGTGTGTTATTAGTTTAAGCAGACTGTGATTGTCTATTGTTGTGAGTTAGATGATGATCAGATCACATTTTATGACCAATTTGTGCAGAAATCCATATCATTCCAAAGGGTCCACATACTTTTTCTTGCAACTGTATATATAAAAAATAAAACAACCACTTGATAAAGCCCTACTTGGGAGAAACGTGTTGCAGATAGTTTTTACTAGTGTCTAATAAAGATCTATTGGCTACTTCATTTTGGTATTGTGCCATACATCTTTTTCTTTGTTTTTATTATTTTTATTACTTGGCATCCTGTTTTTACATCTCCAGTGATACCAAGAATCCCAGGTGGGGATTATACCACCTATGGTGATTATACTGAGTGGATTATCTGCTCAGAAAAATGTGAGTACGTCTTATTTACTATTACTCCTGGTTTATTAATTTTAAACAGTGAGAACTATTGTCGCTTTTTATTTTTAGGCTTATGTATATCCTGCTGCTATGATACCTGCTGATTACACCTTCAATCGATATCCTATAAGTGGTGGATTTATACCACTGTATGCACATGTCTTAGCTCTACTACATGTGCGTTTATTGGAATTCTTGTATATCCCTGCACTTTATTTTAAGACTTATTGCACTATTGGTGTCTTTCTTTTTATATATCTACGGACCCTGACCATCCCGGTGACTAGCAAGCTTAAGGAAGAAGATAGTCTACCAACAAGGTGTTTACGAACTCTTACGTATACCTATCACAAAGTCTTTAATTTTGAGACTGCTGATATTCCCCTTGAGTAACGGTTTTATTTATTTTTTTATTGATTTTACTTACCTTGTTTTACGCCTTTGATTGTCTTACCTGTGTATGATCCAATTTGACTTTTCTCTCTATTTTTTGGAGCACCCTATTACCTTGTTTTTTTCTACATCTTCATAAATAGCTGCATTGGTTAATCACCTGAAGACATTCTAAATTAAATTAGGTGAAGCAATGTCATTTGTATTGTAAGTATTCTTCCTACTAGTAAGTAATTGCAATTCCGTAGGTGCAACAAATTCTTAAGATTGACAGATCTCATAAAGGTAACTTTAGGGGCTGTTGATAGGTTACATCCTATTTAAGGGTCTTTTAGTAGTATGAACCAAAATTTCTCTAAATCATTTATGATGTGGTCATATTTAGAATTAAACTTGATGAAAAATACTGGGCTCATGTTTTTATCCATATTGTTACCACTGATTTTGGAAGCTTGAGTTTTTCTTTTACAGTTGGGATAACTCTGGAGTTTCTGTTTAATGACATTATAGGTCATACATCATCTTTAGAGGATGGGTAGCTTCTCTCCTTGAAATGTTAACTCAACTTAAGGGCCTCCTTAGCATAGCCTGCTAGGATTGTGCAATTTCAACTAATTCGTATGAATTGTCCCAAAGGAACATTTTGAATCCATTGAAGGTAGTGTCCCCTGGCTGCTGGCAAATAAACATTGACATAGTTACATAGCTACATAGCTGAAGAGAGACTTGCGCCAATCACGTTCAGCCCTTCTCACATATGTTTTGCTGTTGATCCAAAGAAGGCAAAAAAACTTGCCTTCTTTTTCTGTCTGAAAGAAAGCCCTCCACTGCTGCTTCGGGGCAGCCTAACTCTTATATCCCCAGTGTGACCTTACATAAGCGGAAATATTAACCCTATGCCCTATGCAAGGCAGATCTCCAGATATTTAAAATAAAATAAGTAGTCTCTTCAAATAGAGTGCATCGGCAAAATCTTTAGCCCGACGCGCGTTTCGGCGTATACACACGCCTTTGTCAAGAGCTCTTGATAAGGTAAGAAGGGTTTGTTGTAACTAGAGGAGTTTTTATCTCGATTAAGAAGCACGTGTGGTTTTGGATTTGCTCTGTTAGTGTTTTTGTGCCTTGCATCACTAAAATGGCTTATAACATTTGTGTAACTTACATTCTTATTCACTATGATCTGCCTATCTTAATCTTATGTATTTTAAATCCTCTAATTTGATGTTTTTCTAACTATAAGCATCTCAACTAAATTTTTGCACCTTATTTGAATTTTAGTTCATCTTCAAAAGAAGTACATTTATTCGTTAATCTCTAGAATATTACTTAGAAACATAAGCACAGGTTAGCAATGTTTTAATTAAAATAAGCAATGCCTCAATTTGTTGTTCTGCCGCTTTAATTCGTTTAGTGCAATATTTAATCAAGATATTGATTAGGACCATTGAGCATTTATCAACTGCCTGTAACTACTTTACCTAATCTAACTTATCATCCTGAAAGCAAGTTTTTTTTATTGATTCTAAGAGGGTTTAGCATAATATTGGTGTCAGCATTATTTTGTAATAGCAAATTGTTCCACCAATCGCTAGCCTCTCTTAAGTTGTTTTTCCAAATCCAAGAACAGTCTATCTTTATCTGAAGTACTAGGCTTATTGTCAGGATCCTTAGGTATAATGGTGGGCTCTGCTTTCCTCGTGTCTCTTTCCTCGTGTCAAAAATGTGCAAGTACATGAAATACGTTCACAATGATGAAGACATTTTCCAGGAGATCACAGTAAGCCTTATGGACTCAGATAAAAAACTGAATAGACTAATTTCAGTTAAAACACACAATCTACATGTTCTAATTCCTCTCCTCCGGACCCGGGCACAATCCACCGCAATCGGAGACCTACGAGGAACATGGGTAACCAGAAAAAGCATCAGCAGATGCAGGGGAACCAGGGGAAAACCTCAATGGTCAAATCGGGGACTCTCACCCGTTTCCTGAGAGATAGCACCGAGCGAGACATGGAGGCTGCGGCCGTGACCTCCAAGATGGCGGGAACAGACCTTTTGGCAGATTCCCAACCACAAAGCCCACAACTCTCGGAGTGCTCTCTGAAATCATTGGAGATCAACCCAGACCTGGACATCAGAGATCTATTGAGAAACTTACCGTCGAAAACGGACATGGAACGCATGATCCACAAATTAGAATCCACACTGCATTCCAAGATGGCGGAAATGGGTACTGAAATTCAGCAGCTAAATCTGAAGGTGGGTGATTTGGAAGAAGAAAAAGACCTTATGCAGGCACAAATAACTAACATTAGACTCTCACATACAATTCATGTCTGCCACCCAGAGGCATATTGATGATCTTTATAATAGGGGGCGCAGAAATAATCTGCGCATAAGGGGGGTGCCAGAAACCCCGAATGAAGACCTAACTTTAATCTTAACAGAGCTCTTTGGCCTATTGGTACAAGACATTCCTGCCAACCTCCTGCTACTGGACAGGGCACATCGCTCCTTGCGCCCCAAGGGTATCTCCCAAGACTCTCCAAGAGACATCATTTGTAGATTGCACTATTTTTAAACAAAGAACGGGGTAATGAGACCACTAAGGGACACCTCACAGCCACTACTATATCATGGTAATCCCATACAGATTTACCCCGACCTCTCCTGGTACACCCTACAGGCCAGACGAGCTCTCAAGCCTATTACTGAGCTCCTACCCAACAGGAGCATCAAATATCGCTGGGGTTTCCCCTTTGTCCTGATAGTGAACTATAAGGGAAACATCATCCAAATAGCCTCTACTCTAGATGTCCCTCCATTCCTCCCGGCTCTGGAGCTTCCAGACACGAACATAATAGACTGGAATTACCCGATACCTCACCAGGACAACGTACAAATGTCCCAACGACAGAAATGGGTCACTCCTGCAAAAATGAGAAGAAATGACACCAGGTTCACCTCACCACAGGCAAGACGGGGGAGACAGCCCAGCACCCCCGCCCACATGCGAAGTACCACTGACGACTAAGATGCTCTCCCTAGACCGAGCACCCTAACACACGGACACAAAAACTTACTACAAGGACAGCACCTAAACCCGGATGAAGTCTTCAGAGGACCTTTATATTTCCTTTCTTTCACAGAATACTCACAAGTCCTTCTGATGCCAACAGATGATGAGAGTCCTTTGATCCAAGAGACGGCTGAATTGGAAAACGGCCACAAAACTCTACATGATATATGGGACTGATGCTCATATCTCCATAGACCCCAACACCAGGCAACGGACATCATTCCATACTCCCTACCTGTTGGGAGGGCAAGTATGCACCCTCTAAAAATATGTACATTGTTACTGGTGGGACGTTTCTTTCATTCTAGCCCTAGATAAGATTCATATTGATTACTAACCTATCTATACTACTGCTTTACATTTTGTCTCTAAGTTATAATTAGCCTCTAAGAAACAACAACACCAGACACACATCAATCTATACCTATGACACGATGAAAGGGTTACCCCCTCCTAATAAATCAGGGTTATAAAGGTCGACCGTAACGAGCCGAATGTAGCCAAGATCAATAGCCACATGCACCCCACTAGGACACATTACACGCTAGGCCCATCCTAACTTACAAGATCTAACTCTGCAATCCGGAAGCCGTCCTCAGAAGGTGCTGTTCCACGTCTCATTTCATATATTACAGAAAATAAATAAATAAATAAATATATAAAAAAAAGACACAAGTTGTATCCTCTCTTTTTCCCCATCAACTAGATACCTATATTTGGTTACACAGACGAGTTATCCTAACGAGTTCTTAATCTATTAGGATTAATAAATCCCGGGTCTCAGGCGCATTCCAAGACCACACAACCCCACTTTATATTCGGTTTTATCTCTTGCGCCGAGATAGAACCAGACTCCCCTTCCGGGACAACATTACACCCACCTATGCGTGGGTACTACACGGGGCATATCCCCATTCCGGTTCTACACAACCGATCTCCCACCTGTTCCACGGGGTAGGTGGAGAAGCAGGGACACAGAGAGACACTATCTCTTGAGCCACACTAATCTAGTCACACAAGAACCAACGAGTGGGTACTCACCGAGGGCCAAGAGATTTTTGTCATTGTCATATAACGATTGTTATTGTCTACTGTTTTGAATTTCTAACTGCGAACATTTTGTGTTTTATACTGTTTCTTCCAAGGTTCAGACTATACCGACCAAGAATCACCTACCTCATACGACTATAAGCTAGTTAGCTTCCAGCCACCAACCCCGTTACTCTTCCCAGATGGGGGCTCCTGCAGCGGGATAGGCCTCCCTGAATTATCCAGGCGGGACATCTCCTCCTCCCCTCCTCACCACACACAGGCAAAACTCGAGACAAGGTAATTTAAACTTGCACAAGACATACACCGATCCACTGACACTTTATATACTTGCAGAGATACTGCATATAGTACAGTATACCCAGAGGCCACACTTGACACGGTACAGCACGCACACTCTCTATTGACTTTCCATCTCTCGACACATCTCATATTACTTTATAGAGATGGCCACCATAACACTCCTCATGCAAAATGCCAGGGGCCTCAATACCCCAGAGAAGAGATCTATGGCCCTAACAGACTTCAGTAGACACAAAGCACATATCGTTTTTGTGCAAGAAACCCACTTCCGTAAAAATACACCTCCTAAACTGCAAAACAGGGACTTCCCAAGAGGGTACTTCAGCCATTACTCAGAAGCAAAGGCACGAGGGGTAGCCATACTTATTAATCGCCAAACTCAATTCACTTTCCAAGACCAACAACTAGATGATTCAGGCAGATTCCTTTTTGTAAAAGGAAAATTAGGAAACACCCAAATCATGCTGGCCAACATCTACTTACCCAATAAGAAACAATCCCAAACCCTCAAAAATTTTTTAAGTAAACTATCGCTATTTCACGAAGGAATAATTATCCTGGGTGGAGATAAACTCCTCTCTAGACGGGGCCCTAGACACTACTACTACCTCTCACAAATCCCAATCCCAATCAAGATTGCAGATGAAAAACATTCTTTACAACACTCAACTCTATGACGGTTGGAGAGCAATTCACCCTACGAAGAAGGATTACTCTTTCTTCTCACCCCCTACGGGAACCTATTCCCGTATAGACTCTTTCTTCCTTCAACATAGACACCTGCCCCTGATACAGACGGCCTCATATGGACCAATCACGTGGTCTGACCACGCTCCACTCACTCTCACATTGACCATACCATCCCTACCCAATTCCTCCGCACAATGGAAGCTAAATGACCTGATCTTAAACGCCCCAGACACCCTTGCACAAATAAGGGAGACGGCCTCTAACTACTTTAAAGAAAACACCAACCCGGACACTACTCCCATAATGACTTGGGAAGCCCACAAAGCATTCCTCAGAGGGGAACTCATCCGAATAGCGTCCAATTTGAAACGTAAGAGGGAACAGTCTATCACCCGACTCACTAAGGAAATCAAAATACTAGAATGTAAACATCATGACACATCCACACTGGAAGACTATACCTCGCTACTAGCTAAACGGACTGAACTAAATGCGACATTGACCCTCCATGCCAAACGGAAAATGTCACTTATAAAAAGCACCTACTATATGCAGGGAGGCAAGGCAGGGAAACTCTTAGCACAGTCGTTACAGAAAGAACGACAATCTACCTTCATCTCTGAAATTAAAGCTGAAACAGGCAAGATAACCCGCCACATGCCAGACATAATGGGAGCATTTCATAAATTCTACACCGAACTATACAACCTGAAATCAGCCACACCTTCACCCCAAGACATAATAGATTTCCTAGCACCCAGAATCAAGCGCACCCTCCCACCCAATGACATGGCGTTCCTAGATGACCCCATCACAGTGGACAAATTCCTCCAAGTTATTAAGACCATCCCTATAGGCAAAAGCCCGGGCCCAGACGGTTACACCGGGAAATATTACAAATTAATGGCACCAATTCTAGCACAACCCTTTATTGACGCATTCAATGCTCGAAACCTGTCGGTCTGTATTCCCCGTTCTGCATTAGAAGCCACCATTACCTTGATACCGAAGCCGGGAAAAGATCTGACCTCATGTGGCAGCTACAGGCCCATATCATTGATAAATATTGACATGAAAATCCTTACGAAAATCATGGCCACTAGACTGAAACCCTTGCTCCCGGGTCTCATTCACCAAGACCAGGCTGGCTTTGTCCCGCACCGGGAAGCAAAAAATAATGCCACAAAAATCATTAATCTTATCCACTGGGCGCAAATACACAAAATCGACAGTGCCCTTCTGGCCATTGATGCTGAAAAAGCCTTTGACAGGGTAAGTTGGGCACTGTTGAAACAAACGATCCGACTACTGGGTTTTGGCTCTCGCTGGCGGGAATGGATGAACGCTATATACTCACGGCCGACAGCTAGATTGCGAATAAATGGCCAACTGACACAACCGGTAGCAATCACAAATGCAACAAGACAAGGCTGCCCACTTTCCCCTCTCCTTTTCATACTGGTACTAGAACCGTTCCTGCAAGGGATCAGGGACAACACACACATGCGAGGCATTTTCATAGACATGCAGGAATATAAGGTCACAGCCTTTGCAGACGACCTCTTATTCACCATTCAAACCCATCAGTGACAATTTCCCACATAATTACCGAACTGGAAAGCTATGGGAGACTCTCCAACTTCCAAGCAAATCTATCCAAATGTGAACTACTACCAATACATACAACAATTCCACTTAATACATTACTACGAACTAAATATAAATTTACCTGGGCCCCCAGATCCATCAAATACTTAGGGGTTCACATCCCAAACGAATTGGAATGTACCTGTAAATTAAACTTCCTCCCACTGATAGAAACCATCGCCAAGGACTTACTAGCGTGGCACAAACCGTGCTTTAGGTGGTTTAGCAGAATTAACATAATAAAAATGAATCTCCTCCCTCGTATACTCTATCTTCTCCAAACGCTCCCTATTGCCATTCCACGTACTTTCTTTCTCAAAATCAGAGCCATCTTCACTAAATTTATATGGGCACACACAACCCCCAGGCTAGCTTACTCCACACTGACCAAAAGTAAAGAACAAGGAGGGGTAAACCTCCCGGACATCGAGCAATATCACCAAGCAACTCACTTACAACGGATTTATGAATGGACAAGGCCCACACACTTTATGCCATGGACGCATGTTGAGAATGCGATGTCCAATCATACCTTACGAACCATTTGTTGGACGCAATACACTCACCCACGATTTCAAACGAAGCTACC